CCCCCCCCCCCAAGAGTACCGTCCCTAGACTTAGAATCCTACTAGGAGTCCCATATGCTCCTTAGTACCTCTTTAAACACAAGGGTGAGTGGTACTGGACCAATGGTTTCGAGGGAGAGACTAGCCCCATGACGTTTTACAGTACTCTTGGTGTTGGGCTTAGTGCCATGGGATCCTATACTACACCCACCCACCCCCCCCCGTTTACTTCCGTTTAGCGTTTAGTTGCCCTAAGAGTTAGGCCTTGGGGCTTAGCTCAAACAATTTGGGATGGAGCTGCCTGATACAACAAGCCCATAAACGTTTTAAAAAAATCATGGCATTCATTTACAGGCCTAGATTGGGTAAAGGGTTTGGAGAATGGGGCCTCCAACTTCTGGGAAACCCTGAACCCTAAACCCGAACTTACTGAATGGTCCCAACTTAAACGCCAAATACATGCCCACCAATATTTCAATGGTTGCAAAGGAACCCCTCAAACCCTCACCAAAACATCACCATACGAACTCTACAAGGCTCTATAATCCCAGTTTCCATTTCGTTTCTCCATGTTCTGTTCAATCTGATTCTGCATTGCTGTGGATGATACCCTAGACCCTATATAATCCCTCATAAGTTAGCCCTAAACCGTGAACGCCTCAGCCCGAAACGACTATTTAGCGCGGCTACAGAATCCCAATATCTTCATATGGAGGCGAGTATGCAAGACTGGCATGGTCGAGAATGAAATGCTGCCCTCGAGCATGAAACCGACAATGCGAAACTCCTGTCCCGTGACATATAGCTTGCATATAAGGTTATATACGATTATAGAGACGTTGCGCGGTGAGATAGGATGAAAGGATTATATGAGTAAATATATGTAGATCTTCTAGGCCAATGAGAACTCCACATCGCTAATACCATATACTGGTACGAGATGAGCTGTAATCATTGTGGCTATGAACCTTGGGCAAAATCTCAAACATTTCTTCGTTGCGCTAGAGGGTTCCTTATCAAGCTCTAAACTTGGTAAGCACTGTACAATTCCAGTGTCCATTTCAGGTTTTACGGTCTTTCCCATTTTGCCTTTTTAACTCTTGCTGATAGCCCTAAGCCTAAGACAACTTCACCCTTATAACTTACAAGCCTTCAATTCCACTCCCTAAACCCTAAACCCTAAACCCCTAAACCCTAAGCCCCTAAACCCTAAACCCTAAACCATCCTAAACCCTAAATCCCAAACCCAAAACTGACATGGCCATGTAGCAGCCTGCAACAAGCGTCACCCACACGACAACGGACGTCCAATACAATTACGCTCCCCAGGCAAGTCCCTAAACCCTAAATCCTTAACCCTAAACCCTAAATCCTAAACCCTAAACCCTAAACCCCTAAACCCTAAACCCGTGATTGCAGGCCTGAGATGACGAAGACCCTTGGCCGCAGCGAGGCTAAATGTAGGTCCCAATCACCAGTCTCAGGTTCATTTGGACTATAGTCTAAACTCCTAGTATCCCCCTTAATAATCCTGTAGTACTCCCCTATATAATCCCCTATATAACCCCCTTTAAGGAGTTTAGACTATAGCTCATTTGGTGTACCCTATACCTTAGGAGGACCCTCCACCCTGTAATAGTGGTATAATAAGAATATAAGAGGACCCTAATATAATTCCTATTATCCCTTATAGTCACTATTACTGGGTGGGGCGTCCACCTAACCTATACCATAACTATGCCAGAAGTCCAGGACCATAAATATTGGCAACTATCCCTTTGAAGCCCTATGTGAGACAAGTTCCACGTCATGGTCTGTTCTCCTTGTATCCGTTGTACGACCACTATACACTGGTACTCATTTGGTCTTCTACATTGAACTTGAAATGGTTTACATGGTTTGATAAGCCTTCAGAATGCTTCTAAGGCATATCCAACGGTTTCATACTGGGGCAAGAACATTCGCCCAAATGATTTCCCACTTCCGCTAGACAGGGCTGTGGTTGCAATGCACTGTTGCGCTCTGGAACGGCATGCGGAGCGGGGGAGTACACACGGGTTTCCGTACATAGTGGGTGCCCCAACTATAGACCTCAATGTACTACTAATAAATGGCCCACACTTCTTGGAACCCCCCACATGCTTTGACCCTAAATTCGTGAAACCTCAGAGGGCTTCTGGTCTATGGCTTTCAAGTCACACTGTTGAGTGCAACTAGAGCCCGGAATCCTGGATTCCCTACTAGAACCCCTCGCGTTCCCCTATAATTCAAATTACTTCCGGACATTCAGGGCTAGCTACTCCTGATTGAGAGGGGGGCGGTAGTAGTGTGGGAGCCCATGATAGCAGCCACAATTCCTTCCCAACTGTCAACTGTGAGAACAACTGGATGCCAGCCTCCTCACATCAGGCACTTGATATAGGCGGTTTCGGGTTCGGGTTTAGGGCTCAGGGTTCCGGGTGTAGGATTTGAGAACCACATTCCGATGAGAGGCCCTGAACCCTAAACCCTACACGATCTCATCACCATCCCATTCTCTCCCCAGCACGTTTCGGGCCACACCTGCCGTCGGACGCACCTGGACGCGTCTCAAAATCACCCTATCGAATTACCCTGAAACATGTATACTCTCATATGCCAACAGACCCTTCCTTGTAAGAACCCCTTCCCCCAAACACTAACTCCTAAGCCCCAAACCTCAAACATAAATCCCACCCACCCATATATACCCCCAGTGTCCATTTCATGTTCCATGTTCTTTTCCACTTGATGCTCCATTAAAGGGGGGGATAATATAGCTACATCGCAGGAGAGCTGCCCGAGAACGACTCCGCCCAGGATGCGCGAGTTCCCTTTTGACATAGATTGGATTTCCTGACAGCTCGAATCTTAGGGATTAGGTTTTAGGATGGTTTGAAATTCAGTGTTTAGGGTTTAGTGGATATTGGGGGGCAAATGGGAACTAGGGTTTTATGGTGGCTTACAGAAATCAGGGACGCGAATATAGCCCCAGAATAGAATACCTATCCTTATATGGACCCCCTAATCCTGCGCCCCGAGTTGAAACTCAGGAGTTAGGGCTGAGAAGCTTTTTTGCCTTTTGTGGCTTAAGGGAGATTCGGGGGGTTTTTAAGGGGGCAAATAAGCAGGCTTTAAAATAGGTTGCTGTTAAGGAACTGAATTAGTTGAAGTTACCATGTTGGGGAGACACTATGAATTACTAAATATACCCATTCTGGTAACTTAATTTAAGTTCCTTAACCAGTAAACACAGCATTGGAGGACTGGTGACCGATCTGCCGTCGACGCAGCATCTTGCACAGCAAGCACAGTCTGCCTCTACAAAACTACTACCGCAATCCCTAAACCCTAAATCCCTAATCCCTAAACCCCCAAACCCTAGACCCTAAGCCCTAAACCCTAGGTGTGCTTGGGGCACTGGAAAAGCTAGCTTGCATGGGTTCATGCACCCAATAATCATATACTTACCCAAAACCTGTACTATAATTACTACTACCTATATGCCAAGTACCTAATTACTGGGTACATGGCCCTAAACCCTTCACACTATATACCCCTAAAAACGCCTATTATATGGGTTTTAAGGCTTTAGGATTTTAAGGTTTAGGGTTTAAAGTTTTAGGGTATAGGGTTTTAGGGCTTAGGGTTTAGGGTTTAGGGTTTAGGTATGTAGCAGGCTTTAGGGTGCAGGGTTTAGGGACCACATGGAGAACCAACATGGAAAAAGCATATGGAACATGCAATGGAAACAGGGATGAAATGGTGTTTAGAAAGCATGGTGGATAGGATTTACTCGTAACCTCCCCCCAATGTAGTCCAACTATCCCCTACCCATAAATATGTAGCTACTTGAGGTCGCTGGCATAATGATAGCGAGGGCAATTACAATAAAGGTAACAACAAAAATGATTACATAATACATTATAGTTATGATAACGGTGATAACAACAGCCATAACGGCTATTGCTTCACTCGCTAGAATCAGGTCCAGGGTTATCCGTGTCAAAATGACTTCTGTCCATGAACGCCACTACCATGCGATTGCTTCCCTTGCCTGTCTACAATTTGCGGGCATGCCCGACAGAACGGCAAAAGCCGAAGCTCGCCAAAGAAATGCGCGTCTGCTCTGGGGTGCAGAATGCTTGTAGAGATCTAGGGTTAGAGTCCGTAAGCCTGTAAAACACTATCAAATCTCAAGCTCAAGGCCACAACAAGCAAGTCAGGCGGAGTTGTATGCCATAAATTCGGTGTGCTTGCGAAACCCTGCCAAATTCTGCATGTGAAGGGCTGAAACCTCACATAACTTTGAAACTTCATCAGGAAGCTGACTAGCCCGGCTCAGACTGACTATGTGGAAGGGGCGAAATCCACCTGAAAACGAACTCCCCGAAATCCACCTGAAAACGAACTCCCCGAAAAACCCGAGCATACGTCCTGAATAAGCCCCTGCACACAGGGATAACAACTCAATAATCTAGAACCTAACGGAAAGGAAGGTGGAAAATTATACGGAATGTCGGGATAAGGAACCTACAGTCCCTCTTGAGTAGATAGAATATGGCTTTGGGTATATTATAATAAGGTCCCCATATATTTCAGATTCTATCTCCTTAAGGGGGACTATACACCTCTCCCAGGCCGTCTCCGTCCGATTTCATGATGCACAAACAAGCTGGGTTGCTGTTAAGGAACTTAAATTAAGTTACTGTATTGGGGAAACCCTATTATCTACTATATATATACCCATTATGGTTACTTAATTTAAGTTCCTTGACAGCAACCCAGACAAGTCATGTGCCTCGGTCTCAAAGCTCATGGAGACGCCTTAGCTTGAAGATGCTCAAACTAGACGCGGGGTTTAGGGTTTAGGGTTTAGGGTTTAGGATTTAGGGTCCAGGGTTTGGGGAGACTTTGAAGGATTTGGGAAGATTTCGCTGCACCAACTCAACTCATTGCAGTAAGAGGCCCACCACGACATGTCAAATTGCATCCGTTCCCGCAAACTTACGGTCTAGCCAAAAGCTCAGACTAAGGCAAAGCATATGCCTCTTGGGTACTGCCGCCACCCAGTAACAGTCTACAATGGGAGTACCATTAAGCATTATACATATATACATATATACAGACACAGAAAAACAGACCTTTAATAAGATACATGCAACTGTTTAACTGCTGAGAGAGAATAAGCTGTATGGCCCAGGGTTGGAGCTTTCCAGTTGAAGGCCTGGATATTCCAGCCTCCAAGTCATACAACTGCTCCAACTCCACGAGGAGAGCAAATCAATAACAGCAATCATGAGACTGATCACAGCTTGTGAGAAGAGAAATGGTAAGACAACCTTGAAAGCAAGATTTTACTGCCGTCGCAACAAAAGTGGCATCATTTGCTACAGTTTTCAAATGGCGGAAGAGAAATATTGCCAATGCAATATGCTGCACCTGCACGCCTTTCCACTCTGACCCGTGTCATTCGACAGCCTAAGTACAGACTCCCATTATCAGGTCCTACCGACATTTGTCGGCGCAAGCCTATGCAAACCTATGCTACCCTCGAGCAACAGTAGGTCCTTACCACAACGACGCAAAAATAATATCCCCTTGAGATGAAACCCTTGCGCTGCCAAAATTCCAAAAAACTAGAGCCTTTTCTAGGAATGAGGCAAGTGGCGAATGCCCGTGGAGATCAAATAGAGAGGGAGGCCATTCAGCAGGCATTTGACCTGTGCAGTACAGCTCAAGGGCTATGTCTTCTAAGAATCAATACAGAAGTTCAGACACGCTGTCCTCAATTGGCAACCCAGCAGGTTTCAGAATTCAGGCTGCACGACTTAGGACTCGGGGTATATAATCTGGAGTTGTGTTTGGGGTACTAAGTTCTCTCGCTTGCCCGCTGAGGCTCTCAAGTGGCCTACGGCTGCGGACAAGAAAAGAAACACCCAACCAAGCACCCTAAATTCAAAACCCTGAACCATAAATCCTAAACCGCAAACCCCAAGCCCTAAACCCTGAACCCTAGACCCTAAATAGTAGTTTCCACTTTATTTTCCATTATCCCAATCTAACCCCAATGTAACCCTAATATTACCTCAATGGGTAACACAGGTACCAACCCTAAACCCTAAACCCTGAACCCTAAACCCTAAATAAACCCTAAACCCTAAACCCTGAACCCTAAACCCTAAATCCTAAACCCTGAAGACCCTGAAGCTGGAAAAATGCTACAGACTCCCACGCCGAGCACCGGGCAGCAATGTGCCTCCAAGCCTCGAAGACGATTTGTGGCTTAGGGCTTAGGGGCTTAGGGTTTAGGGTGTAGGGGTTTAGGGTTTAGGGTTTGGGGTTTAGGGTCTAGGGTTTGGGGTTTAGGGTTTAGGGTTTAAGATTTTCCTGTTATGTACCCAATAATTAGAGTTTAGGGTTGCGGGTTTAGGGCTTATGGTTTAGGATTTAGGGTCGATTTATACTGTTTACCCATGTACCCAAGAATTAGGTACTTGGGATTTGGGTGATAAATAGTAATTATAATACAGGTTTTGGGTGCTTTGACCCTTAGGGTTACATCAAGTACCTACAATTGAGAAGGTACGAGCCATGAAGCTGCAGGTTATTGGAATGGCAAATCATGAGCATGACGATGGTGACATCGCCAGCGCTGATACAATTGCTGTTACTATATAGTATTACATATGACTACTGTGGATATTACCACTTACTCTAGTGTTCTTCTACTTACGGCTGTTGGTCTGACTAGGCGTTCATCGTACATGAATGATGCTGTTGGTCGCTGCTGTTGGAGTTGCTGTTGCATGAGGGACAAAAGTTTCCAGGTCTAATTACTCTTGTTGGAGTTGCTGTTGCATGAGGAGCCAAAGTTTCCAGGTCTAATTGCTCTTAGAGCCAAAGTTTCCAGGTCTAATTGCTCTTAAAACGAAGACATAAGGCATGCGACTGCTGCAACCGGGCTGTTCATAGAAGACATGTGAGCTATAGTCGAAACTCCAAAGAGCCGCCTTAATAAGCCCCATAAATAATACCCCCATATAATCCCCCATATAGCCCCCATTAAGGAGTTCAGACTAATTAATTATAGCTCATGAAAAGGCTTCACGCATGGCCTCACCTTTGATCCAGCCCCATGTGTTTGAGCCCCAAACTTCCTACCGCCCCGCTGAGGATCAAAAATTAAATCCCGATATATAGCCATAATAACTCCTATGTAATTCCCCATCGTCTTCTAAGGTATCTAATTTTTAGATCCCTTTGGGGGTCTGGGTTGTGGTCTGAGGGCCAGAGCTCGAAGGAGGTACAAGGAGGCTTAGGGCCCTTTACCCTGAAACCCTAAACCCCCTAAAACCTAAACCCTAAACCCTAAAATCATAAACCCTAAAACCCTAAAACCCTAAAACCCTAAGCCATAAACCCTAGGGCCAAGAGTTTCGGGGGATGCTTGGATGCTTGAGGATCTGTGGAACTGAGGTTGAGAGCTTCCAGGGTCCGGAGCCTAAGGGGATGACATGTGGGTTGTTCTCAAGACTATATAGGAACATATAGGAACTATATAGGAGTTATATAGGATTATGTAGATATATGTATAGGGGCTATATAGGGTTAAGTGGGGATGTATGGGTTGTTCTAAAACCATGGACCCGTCTTGGTTGTAGATTGTATTTTGGCACCGAATATCTAGGATACCAAACTTGGCCCATAATTTGGAGGACTACCCATATGCAAAATGCGGACCTTAGCCCTACTGAGGTTGTTCAGCTGCAGATTCTTCATACTTGGCGCCGGGGTTAACACACATCACTCGGTGAGAATACACCTCATCTACTGTGGACGCTGGCATTGGGAAGATTTCACATCAGCGGGATATTTACACATCAGAAAATGGTAATCCCCATGTAGACGCTGATT